GTTGTCTTGTAGTTGTTCTCTTTGTATAGTTGTGATTGTTATTTTGAAGGTGTGCCTTCTTCTTCTTGTAGTTCCTTCTCCTATCGGAGGTTGGCTATCATCACAGCTATCCGTAGCTTATTATACTGAGCTGCAACTATACCACTCTTTTAGGTTTCTCAGCCAGGAAATTCTTCGTCTTCCTATGGATCTTTTACCTTGCATTATGAGCCTTAATATCTCATATTTCGCACCTCTGATAATGTGACCTAAATATTCCAGCTTTCTTGTTTTGATGTGCTTTATGACCTCGCAATCCTTTTGTAGCCTTCTTAACACTTCTGCATTTGTAACTCGTTGGGTTCATGGTATTTTCAAAATCCCTCTATAGCACCACATCTCGAATGATTACAACTTCTTTATATTATCCACTTTTAGTGGTATGATAGTGGTAAGGTATGCCAAATACTTTTTATTGCTTCTTCTGTTTCCGCGGGTGCTTCACTGAACTTTTTTTTGAGTGTATCATTGAACTGCACAACTATATTTATAGAATTCTACAACAATCATATGATATCATCAATTGACTTTAATATTATAAGCAATTTTGTTTAAAAAACAGGCACTTACAATTACAAGAACAAAAAGTAAAACATTCATATATTCTCACAATATAAACTTTTATATAAATTATTTTAAATATTGATTACTGCTTTACAACCAGATCTTTCTCTTTTAGTAAAATATGATATTAAAACAAGGCAGTGGTTTTCTGTCAGAATTTTAGTCGTTTTTAATTTTTTAAACGATATTTTCGGATAGCAAATAGCAAAAACTGCGAATATCACATGCGCTGTAAACTCATCAATACGTAGTGTTGTTAAGATCAGTTCACTTCTAAATTATTTGCGCACAGTAGTGTCATTTTGTGATTAAAATATGGAAATTATACAGAATCGGCAACTTATAAAACACTAGCGTTTACCAACACAAGCATTTAAGGGGTTACATAGGTCTTGTATTTAAAAAAAAATACAAAATCGATTATTTTTTTATTCCATAATATAAAAGTGTAGTATTTCAAGAGAATTCACACTAAATGTGAAGTAAATTCGAGCAATACTACCGAAGTTATAGACATTTGAATGCCGACCGGTCGGTAAATGCACTCTCAGTTTAAAAACTGCAAACGCCTTTTCCTCGAAACTTTGCTTTCTCGAGAACGAATCGACCGATTTTGCTGAAACTTTGTACAATTGATCTTGATAGTACTATTTCGTGATTTAACGAAGGGATTTTCAATCGGTCGACTCGTTCTTATTTTATACGAAAAAATTGTTTTAAAAACGATGAGTATCGGAAAATGCTAAAAAATATGAGACGAAAGTTCATTCAAACTTATTTAAAAACTTTAAATTTCATTTGTTTTCCAATATCTTAATATCAATTCCTATAAAGATGAACTGTGCAAAGTTTCAGCTCACTTACCGATCACGCGGTGTTCAAATGTCTACAACTAACGGTAATATTGTTCGAATTTATTTCAAATTTGGCGTGAATACTCTTGAAGTATTATACTTTCATATGTGATAAAAAAATATATCTATTTTTTGAAAATAAAAGACCTATGTACCTATTAACAGTTAATTATTTTATTATACAACAAATCTGAGTCGAGCCGCTAATATTAAATAGACTTCAGCGAGAACGGTCAATGTATCAATGAATTTGAAACTATTGGATTTCTAGTATTAATGAAAAAACATTTGTCGCTACAGTGTTGTCGATTCTAGAAATATATCGAAAAATCTAGAAGTTACGATGCAGTAGGTCTTACGCATGCGTTTTACACAAGCAGAGATCACATGCGACTGATGAAGTGGGTGGTCTCATAATAATATGTGCATTGAGCGATAGGACAGAACAACCTGTTGTTAACTTATACAATCGATCATATACAAACAAAAGTTTATTTGTCTAAAATAACAAGAATTGGATGAGATGATTTGGAAAATATTGTTTGGTAGCTGCTAAAAGACTCATCATCACAGTCATTAACATCTTAGTAGATGTGTCATTAACATCTTAGTAAGTCATTAACATCGCTGTGGAGATCTTCCGCGTTGGCGTTGAGTCTGAGGCCTTCCTTGGACCACCAACCGCTCCATTTTGTGATCACTTCGATGGATATGGCCAAAGAACTTTAAAAGTCTAGAGTAAACGGTACTGGAGAGACGCTGATCCGGTTTAATTTCATCCAGAACCGAGATATTTGTACGGCGAGCCGTCCATGGAATTCGAAGCAGGCGTCTCCATGTCCACATTTCAAAGGCGTCTATACGTTGTCGATCTGATTCTTTGACTGTCCATGTCTCGCATGCATAGTAAAATATGGAAAAGACCAGAGTTGAAACGAGTCTCTTTTTGTTTGTCATAGTAATGTGACGATCACGCCAAACCCCGTTTAGTTCACTCATTGCTGCTCTTGCTAGTTGAATGCGTCTTCTAATTTCGGATTCACAACTGCCTGTGTTGTTAATTAGAGCTCCAAGATATATCATAGATGAGACTACCTCGCATCCCGCAATAGTTTGGGTTTCAGGAAACTGTTGTTGGCGATCAATAACCATGATTTTGGTTTTGTTGTAGTTAACCATGAGTCCAAATTTAGCACTTTCTACCTCGAGTTTTTTTAATAATTTAGTAATTTCTTCTGGCTAAAGGCTAAAAGACTAAAACTTATGAAATCTCGTTCAGAAACTATGAAAAGAGCTTCATTTCCTAAGAATACTCTTCTTCTTTTTATGTAGACATGACTCTGTTTTTCAACGTACCTCCAGTAAGTTGTCGTTTCATCGTTTTCGTGGTCTTCCTACTGATCGTCTTCCTATTGGGGAACCATCTCTTGCTGTCTTTACTACTCTATTTATTTTCCTTCGGCTTATATGATCGTTCCATTCTATTTCTTATCCAGTTCTTAATGTTCTGCACCTTACATCAACGTCGCATATCGGTACTTCTAGCTCTGTCCCATAGTGTCTTACCATCAATTTTTCAAATGTTTTCATCTCTGCTGTTTCTAACTCAGAATAATTAACCGAAAATCAACAATAAAACATGATAAAAGAATAGAAGTCAAATAACCACGTCTGTTTCTGGATGGCAGAAGGTCACGATTCAACTCAGCGTTATCATATAGTATATAAAAATAAATATATGCTAACAATTATCTTGAGCGAAAAATGAACTATATCATCATTCTAAAATTCATTTTAATGTAATAGACAGCTTGAACTAGTGAAACTGTATCTGCCAACAACGCTATGACATTTATATTTTAAGGAGTACACTTTGAACACTTATAACCGTCACAGTGCTTCATTATTTTGGTGTACTGTACTAAACATAAAACAAGAAAAGTGCGTTGACGTTTTAAAGCATTAGCTGGGTTAATGGCATTAACTGTCAATAATAATTGCTAATGACTATTGACAAAAATTTACTATTTTTTGAGCGACGTATTTTTTTCTCTTCTCAATATTATTGAATAGAAAACAAGAAGAATATTTAATTCAACATCATCTTTGATTACGTTTTTATGATAAGTGATTGTCAACAATCAACTAAAGTTTAAAGAACTGTCAATTGTCAATAGTGAATAGTTAGGAAAATGTGTGTAAGTCATTTGAACTACGAAATGCTAAGCAATAACAGTGATAATAACCTTGCCATATTCCCAATGAAGATAATCTTCTTCTTCAGCCTTAAGTAATCCAACTTTGGACATAGGCCTCCCCTAAATTAATCCAGTGTCTTCTATTTTGCGCCACTTGCTTCTAGTTGTGTCCTCCAATCATCTTATTAATATCACCCGCTTATCTCACTTGTGGTCTTCCTCTGCTTCTCTTTCCTAACCATGGTATCCATTGTTGTATTTCGTGGTTCCATCTCTTATCCTTCAGTTGAACTTTGTGTCCTGCGAAGCTCCATTTTAATTTGACAGCATGTTCTCCTGCGTCTTTTACTTTGGTTTTGTTTCTAATCAATTTGTTTGTTTTTTTGTCTATAAGTCTCTTCCCGAGCATTGATCTTTCCATCGCTCTTTGTACTAAAACTATTTTATCCATGAGTATAGGGAGGATACACTGATCGTAAATTCTGGTTTTCAAATATTGTTATATTTTAGTGTTTTTCAAGATCCAACTCAGATCCAAATCCTGCCCACGCTAACCTTATTCTTCTGGTAATTTCGGCAGTTTGATATTCTTTGTTAACTTTCATTATCTGTCCCACGTCTGTTACTTATTTATGTTTCTAAATTTATGTCGTTCAACGTTATTTCTCTAATGTTCTGTGAATTTGTCATTATTTTTTTTCCATGTTTATCATAAGACCTACTTTTTCCGAAGCTTGAAATAGTTGCGTTATCATGGTCCGTAGTTCTTCTAAACTTGTAGCGAATATTACAATGTCATCAGCGTATCTTAAATGACTGAGTTTTCTTCCATTAACATTTATTGCTTTATCTGCCCAGTTAATTTCTTTGAACACGTCCTCCAGTCCAAGTGTGATGGTTTTGATGAGATAACATCTCCCTGTTGATTAGTATAGCTTTGGTTTCCGCATCTATTTGTATTTTCATTTTTTTTTTAATACAAATAGAAAAAATACAAAAAAAAGAAGATAGTAATAATAATTATTATCCAGATTTAGCCATACGGCTCACACTCTCTGTAAGGGGATATCCACTCATCCCAAATACTTACGGTATCAAAAGGTTTGAGCTCTGGTGGAACTCTTTCCATGTTATCGAGTCCTAGATGACTTGGTATGTCGGTGTATCTCCTAAAAATTTTCGCACGCTTTTTGTTGTACTCAACACGGCAATGTTAAGTGAGCAGTAGGCAGATTGAGACCTCAGTTCCGTTTGACGGTTCTCGTATTTCTAGAGAACAAGATACCGGTACTTTACGAGTGAGGGGAGTAGGCAGATTGAGACTCCGAACTCGAACGGAACCATATCACTCTTGTTAATGGCCCGCAAATGGTGTTGCCATATTTTGGTACCTTAAACGGGTCGTACCTTAAAAGGGACGTTAAAAAACGTTCAAAGGAATAACAGCCATTTCCTAATTTTCATACATTTCATATAAACGTATTGATTTAAATCATATAAATTGAATGATGAAAAATGTGCAATGATCCAACATACGGAATTTAACAGGCTTCCTTTTCGTAATCTATATAACAAATTTGAAGCGTACAGTGTTGACATATTCTAACTTGTATTATTTCTGGTCGATTAGACAACAAAAAGCCATACAAATAAGCTACATATTAAAAATAACTATGTATTCTGACTGAAACCTCTGCCTCAAAACAAATCGTGTACAATAAACAACAAATTTATGTACAAATAAATAAATCTGATAAAATTTACCAATTACTCATATCAAAAAAACAAGCATAAAAAAATAATATCAATATTAAACAAAAAAACAGTTATAAAACTAACACAGATTGTGAACTTGTAAAGCTACGGGACAATAGTTTTGTGCTTATTAATTAAACATAGCAGGAAAGCTCATGTCTACTGTTCGGCATATCACAAAAAGAATTCGTTGAAAGTTGAACTAGAGAGAGACTACGTTATCTACGATTCGAACAACGCTATTTTCGTTAAATATTAAACTGCAGAATGCCTAGAAACGTTATAGGTATATAAAATGATTATCATTTGCTTCTAAAAAGCAAATACTAGTCAAGCCTTTTGTTCATTTTTTGTTTATTGAATACATTTAAAATATGTGCAAATATTTTAACAGTACAATTTTAAATTCAAAATTATGACAATTATTTATCCGACTCGAAGGACCAAAGAGTAAATTGTGAATGTATTTTAGACAACTGCTGCCTGATTTTCATAAAATTTGCGTACACATATTCAGTCAAAAAACCTTTACAAACCGTATCATAATTCTAGGAAGCTCACAGTTTTCCATGACAATAAATTTATTCTGTTTTCTACTTTTTGTCTTATTATTATACAGGGTGTTACAAAAGGAAATGTCATAAATTAAATCAAGCATTCCGTGGACAAAAATAAATTGATTGAATCCAACCAACCTTAGTAAAATTGTGTACACAAAAAAAGTTACAGCCCTTTGAAGTTACAAAATAAAAATTGTTTTTTTTTAATTATCTCCTAAAGTACTTGATATTTTGTAATAAAAATGGACATGTTACTTTCTTGTTCTGAAAGCATTTTTCATAAAAAAGGAACAACAAAATCTAAGCATACAGAAAAATTTTATGGGGGGTGTGCAGCTCTAAATCCCCCAAACTTTTGAGTACGTTCAAATCAAATGAATTTTGTGGCATCATTAGTTTAACACATTATTTTTAAAACTTTTTTTTGTTTTGTTTTTGTGTACACTTTTGTACTAAGGTAAGTTGGATTCAATCAATTTATTTTTGTCCCCGAAACGCGTGATTTAATTTATGACATATCTTTTTGAAACACCCTGTATACCCTAAACAGTTTGAGGTTGGATTTTGAATAGGTTGCCCACTTCTTTTTTATCTCTTCGATATTTTCTTTACTGTAATCGTTATGTTTAAGGCTTTTTTCCTCATTCAGAATTCATTGATGATTTGAGATTTTCTTTAATCGATGGATTTTCGTACAGTTCGATAAAATTATCTCATGGCGTAATTACGTCTGTACATAGTTATTTTTAATAACTATGGTCTACGACGGGAAAATGTTTTGGTTCCAAATGGAGTAGTTGCTATACCGTACTGAGGAGACCTAAAGAGGTCGAAATACGTATATGCGGCTTGTCGCTACTCTGTATCGAATCAAAATTTAATACCGTCATTGTGTTTTATTTCTTTACTTCGTTTGGAGTACCAGAAATCGAATTCACTACGAATATTGGCCAGGATGAACGGCATTTGGAGTGCAATTTTAGATTCCCTTGCCGATTTATTCATCAAGCTGTTTGCTTCGCAAGTTTTAGGAAGCACGGTGGCTTATATTTGAATTCGATTTCGCCAGGTAGAAATCGTATGATTTCTCTTTTTGTTTGTTATCTCATGGACTTTCTCTGACAACGATTATCCAATATTTTTCGTAGATTTACTTTAATACTTTCTTAAGCCATATCTTCAGTTCATTTTCATTTTTAATTTCAAAGTCAATGATGCCCAGCCACATACTGTAACCAGTATTACTACTGTACTGTGATTTTTTAACGGGACTTTACATTTCAGGATCCCTTATAGCGTCTCTTAACTACTTCTATCTGGGAACAAATTTTCCTTCTTGTTAAATTTCTACATTTTCTTCATCCTGCAACTGCCACCTCTAGACCTTCTATGTTTAGATTGCCTTGTTAACTATCCAGGTTTCATTTTGCTAATGTCTTGATACCAATTCAGTTATTTTAACACGTTTTTCTCAACATACTTCTGTCTATCTGTTTGGAACGAATTTTATGATTGATTAAATAGCTCAAAACTGAATGACAATGCAATATTGTATCATGCAAATTGAAGAATAATGTTTCCAAAAACAAGAAAATGTGCAAAAGGGTTAAAACTCTACAATTACTCCCTCTCGATCCTAATTTTTATTGGCGTCATCCAATTTTTGGAATAAAATACATATACTAAGTATAACAATTATATATATACGAAAAGTATTGTCTTTTTTTAATTTCGTGATTCTATCCAAGAATGAACTTTCCTGCTGTAATATTAAGTATCTCTATAATTTATAACACTACCCAATAAAACTGCAGATGTTGACCAGGCAGAGTAGATTAGAAGAATGAAAAGTTCTTGTCGGTTAGTGGATTTGTGATGTAGGAGCTAAAAATAATAAACTTATAATTAGTGTTTGAGGTAAGAATACTTTCTAACGGTTATAAAGCCACAACATACTTCTATTCTACACATAACAAAAAAGTAAGAGGCGTTTTTTTCAGTAAGTTAGCTATTAGCAAGCAATAGACGTAATTGTGGAGAAAATCGATTGATTATACATTTCCTCTTTGGATATTTAAAATGGCTCTCCGCTTTGTTCGTATTAAAGACGTGAAAGAAGATGAAATTCACCGTCAAATTTGTGACAAACTGTTTTGAGTGATGTAAGGGTACATAAATATGTAAAAACGTTTAAAGATAACCGAAATAATGTTCATAAAGAACTGAGTGGCCTTAGTTGTCACTGTTTTTTTGATGCAGAAAGCCTGCCTGCTTAGTTATCAGACAATATCCCTCAATAATTGATGGATTCGACCGTTACTTGATGGAAATTCATTTTATGTAACAATAAAACACTGAAAACTTTGTTTTCAAACTTCCACAAAATTTATTTTAAATATTATCACTACAGCTGTTTCGGCTGATTGCCTTTCTCAAGTGATCTATTTTGGCTTGGGTTTACAAATTTATAGTCTCTAATGAAATAGGTTGAGGAGGGGAGAACTGTTTGTCTCAAGTTGGTCATTCAGAATTATATCTGTGTTTTTTAATTTGTTGATTTCCATAGATTCTAACAAAGATAGCTTAAGGCCTTTATTTTGAATGTGAAGAATTTTAAATTTGTCATTAAAAGAATGATTATGATCTAGAAGGTGAAGTGCGTATGTCGAATCTGTTTTTCTATTCTTGAAAGCCCTTTTATGTTCTGCTATTCGTTTATCAAAGTTTCTACCAGTTTGACCGATGTAAGTTTTTGGGCAGTCGCCACATTCAAGTTTGTACACACCACTATTTAAGTGTTTTTTATTTTGGCTCTTGTTATTTTTAATATATTTGCCTAGGTTGTTATTTGTTCGGAAAGCTGGTGTTATTCCTTTCTTTTTTATGTGTTTGGCAATTTTTGTTGTTATTTTGCCTGTATATGTAATCGAGCAGAAGGTACTGAGTTTTTTCTCTGGTGGTGGAAATACTAATTTCAGGGCTTTCTTGTGTAGTTTTTGATTTAACATTTTATTAATTGTTTGTTCGTTGTATCCGTTGTTTACTGCTATCTGCTTAATTATATTTAATTATGTCTCAAAGTTGTATTTTGACATAGGAATTTCTGTTCTCCCCTCCTCAACCTATTTCATTAGAGACTATAAATTTGTAAACCCAAGCCAAAATAGATCACTTGAGAAAGGCAATCAGCCGAAACAGCTGTAGTGATAATATTTTAAATAAATTTTGTGGAAGTTTGAAAACAAAGTTTTCAGTGTTTTATTGTTACACAATATCCCTCAAGTTTGGCGAATGCTTAAACTATTACTGAGGGCAAAAATAATTGTTTAGGTCGCCCATTGACCTTTCCTAAGCGTTACGGTACTGAGAGTGACGATTGAAGAAATATGACTCATGACTTGCATGACTCAAGATTGCGCCATGCAATTCAAAACAAAAGGCGTGGCATGCTGAGTGATGGAATTTTGTCTGATCTACACCAATTGTTGTGGGAAAGCTTATTAAATTCTTTCTCCAGCGGCTACAGTACCAACTGGTTTAGGACCATGGACTGTTAGGTATATTAGTTCAATGTACGTAAGCAGACTTCACTATGCAGACTATGATTCCTTCTCTGTTTGATTTTATCGGGTAACACTTAGAGAAAAATAAAGCGTAATCGATCAATACTACACATTTAATAATAATTAGAGAATTTTTACAAAACAACTATTACTAATTAAAGAGTTTGCTTATGCTTATTAAATATGCAAGCAATGGATGAGTGTCAGCTATATCATTAACTTGTTTTTTGGCCTTGAGTTTCCATTCTTTAGATGTTTGTTTTAGTCCAAAGCAAACATTCGTAATTTTCCATGACAAAGTTTTGACCATCATTGTTATTTGAGTCGATTTTCTAAAGATAGCTCTCCAGTTGTAGAATGAGTACCAGTGGAAAATAAAAGTAATATTAAATGAAAGAGGAGAACAAAACAACATTGAAGAAGAATGGAATGGCATCCAAACGACAATTACAAATATGGCAAAGAAAACATTAGGTGAAACCTCAAGCAAAAGAAACGAGGAATGGTTTGACCAAGATTGCCAACAAGTAATAAATATCAAAAATATAGCCAGACTGAAATGTCTAGAAAGAGATTCGCGATTTAATAGAAGGGCATATGAAGAACTCAGAAAAGATGCAAATAAAATATGTAGAAGGAAAAAGAGAGAAATGTTGAATAGAAAATACAACAAATTACAGATTGTAATAACAGAAAAGAGATTATAAAATTTTACAAGGAAACCAAGCAATACACCCAAGAATACATGACAAAATCAACAGTTTGCAAGGATAAAAATGGGGCAATTATCAGCGAGAAAGAAGAAATAATGAAAAGGTGTCAGGAGCATATTCAATAGCTGTTAACCCAGGAAAAGAACAAAACGAAGAACGAAGACGAATTCACCACACAGAAGAACACCTAATTGAGCAACCAACATTGGAAGAAACGATAAACGTCATAAAACATCTAAAAAATAACAAAGCACTTGACACAGATGGAATAACTGCAGAACTAATAAAGAATGGTGGACATATGGAGGCGTATCCATAAACTAATCGACCGCATATGGCCACTAGAAATCATTCAAGAAGATTGGAAAGTAGGAATCATACTTCCTATATACAAAGGGGAGACAAACGACTCGGCAAAAATTATAGGGGCATAACAGTTTTAAATGTCGTCTACAAGATATTATCAGGAATTATATACAGCCGCCTGGAATCGTGTTCGGAGGAGATGATTGGTGAATACCAATGTGGCTTCAGACCAAAGAGGTCAACTATAGACCAAATACATATGTTAAGAGGTATACATGAAAAATGTGTTGAATATAACATACCTATTTACAACTTGTATATCGATTTCAAACAGGCGTTTGATGGAGTAGATCGACAAAAGATGTTAAAGCAACTATCTATGTTAGGGATACCCAATAAGTTGGTTAAACTTATACAAATGACTCTGGAGGGTTCCAAAGCTATGGTGAGAATAGATGGAGATATGACGCAGGCCTTTGATATTGAAAATGGAGTTAGACAATGTGATGCCTTATCAACAACAATTTTTAATCTAACTTTAGAAGCTGTTGTTGGAAAACTGGATATAAACGGCTGTATTAATACAAGATCAATGCCAATATGCGCATATGCGGATGATGTTGCCATAATAAGCCGTAACAAAAGGGTATTAAGCGATAAAGTTATAGAACTGAAACGAGAAGCTGCTACGTTTGGTCTATATATAAATGAAAGCAAAACAAAATATATGGAGTGTACAAAAACGAAACAACATGAGAATCTGAAAGTAGACAACCATACCTACAAATATGCCTCCACTTTTCCCTACCTAGGCTCAATAATAAATGACAACAACAACATCAGTCAAGAAATACAAGCACGGATTCTTAGCGGTAATAAGTGCTTTTATGCATATAAAGACTTAATGAAAAGGAAGTTACTGAATCGTGAGTCTAAGCTTAGAATTTACAAAACAGTAATTGGACCAGTGATCACATATGGATGTGAAACGTGGACCGTCTCAACCACTGATGAAAATCAACTAAGAATATTTAAGCGCAAAATACTATGGAAGATCCACCAGAACAACCACGAGCTGGATGAACTAATGCAGAGCGCAGATATTGTTAGATTTGTAAAGTCACAAAGACTAAACTGGCTTGGTCACCTAGAAAGAATGCCAGAAAATCGAGCTGTAAAAGTAGTCCAGAGATGGAAGCACCAAGAAAACAGAACAAGAGGAAGGCCCCTTAAAAGATAGATAGATGACGTAGAAAGGGATCTTAAAACCATGAACATCAGGCAGTGGCGAAGGAAAGTATACGACAGGGCAGAATGGAAGAACATTGTTAAGCAGGCCAAGACTCACAAAGGGTTGTAGCGCCATTAGAAGAAGAAGAACAAGCTCCCCGGTTGTATAAGGCGTGCATATCCAACATTCTTTTCCAGTCTAGTCTTCTTGAAAAAATACATACCAGAGCGTTCTCTTACAGGACCCATCCGTGTTTTGCCTTGCGAAAAATTTTCTTGAATGTACACTCACATAGGGTAGGGGGTAGGTACTCTTCCACAATCCCAGTGGAGGATAGACTTACTTCAGGGATGCGATCCTGCCCTACGCGAGCCTTGATTCTCTGTCAACTCCTGTGGAGAGAAATCATGTCCTAACCCCATTCCTACCCAATACCTACTATCCTACCAATTTCCCAAACCAACTCACCAACCCGCCTGGCAAGCGTGGTGTTTAAATGCCAAAACCCCCTCAGCATGAACAGACATTCAAGAAAACGGCCCTCAGTCCCCGGCAGCTCGCTAGTTCCCGACCAAGGTAGCGGTAGGACTCACGGACAGCGGGTAGAGGGTGCGAAGAATCCCCGAGATGTAAGAGGCTACCAAGAACGACGAACGTTGCATATAATTACGTATAATGTAAGAACTTTATCTAAGGATGAAAAAATTACAGAACGGGAGGAAGAACTCAAACATGTGAAATGGGATATTATAGGAATTAGCGAAGCTCAAAAAAAGAGGTGAAGATCAGGTCAAAGTAAAATCAGGAAACATATTCCACTATAAAGGGGAAACGGAATCGACAACTGGAAGAATAGGTTTATTAGTACACAAAAAATTACAGAAAAATATACAGAGCATTGACTGCATTTCCCCAAGAATTATGTATATAAATCTAAGAATAAATAAGAGATACAATCTGAAAATAATCCAGGTATACGCCCCCACCAGCGATTACGAAGATGAAATTGTCGAAGCCTTCTATGAGGAAATCGAAAGAGCAAAAAAGCAGGAACCGGCTCATTACAATCTG